AAACATTTAAAAATTTGGTTTATTTTTCAATTTCTATTAAATTTTGCAGGGAAATATATATATATATATATATATATATATATATATATATATATATATATATTTATATATATATATATATATATATATATATAATCTCAGTTGTAACAAATTCAAAAAGAATTCGGAGAACTCAAAATAAGGCAAGAAATCGTCAACCCATCAAAAATGTACTCACTTTATGGTGGATTTGTATAAACCTTTTGTGCGATGTGATTGAAGAAATTTACAAAAGTTTCAGCCCCAGAAAGCGGATATTTTCAAGACCCAATTCGTGAAATTGAATAGAATCTAGAGTTCTTCACAACATCAAAGCGTGGATTTTTAAATATTTGCAGTTCTCAAATTGTGGATTTTAGGGATTTAAAGAAAATGTCCGAGCCCCAAATCATGAATTTAAAAAAAAATTCTTCCGGCGTTAAATCGTAGATTCTAAAAAATATTTCCAAGTCTGACATTATTGGATCTCAAAGAACTATTTCACGAGAGTAATCATTATTTTCTCAAAATTATTGTTTTTCAAATGAATCGAATTGTTTATTTAATGTCTTTAAGAATTCAAGTCGGAGGAATTTAAGATATATAAAATCACTGACCGTCCATATGTCTTTAATTTAAGATTAGTTAAATAAACAATAAACAATCTTAACATTGGCATCATAAAAATCCAGAATATTATAGGTACTATTTGTTTCTATCTCAAATTGGATTTTATAAAAATCATACGTTCGCCTTTAAAAATATGCAGAATCATTTGCGCTAAATTATTTCAGGGGAATTTTCAAAATTATGCTTCCCGTTTTAAAGCAATTACGACGTGAAAGCTCTGAAACTTCATCTTCTGAAACTGCTATGTCTTCAAATGTGGCCTTAAATAATGAAAACACAAATAGACGGCCGGACGGACATCGCCCAACCGATTCCAAATGTCTAATACGGATTTCATCCAAAAGATCTATAGTCAAAAACCATTATTTCGATGAGGCACATTTTGACCATATCAAAAGGTAAATAGCCGATGGAGCCATAACGACATACAATTCTATGTCGTTATGGCCATGTCCATAATACAGACCATGTCAATTGACATACAGGGTGAGATGAAAAAAAAACTGCAACCAACTTCAGACTGCTGTCATTTAAAGCGTACAAAAGCATTTTGGTAAGAATTTTCCAGACGTGATAGTGTGATGTCTTTATATTTGGCTGGAAAACCACAAGTGGCTATCGTTAGAGTACTCCAGCATTTAAATGTGAATAAATCTTTTGTGTCTCGTAGCATCGCTCACTACCGTGATACTGGTAGCGAAACCCGATGTCAAAGAAGTGGACGGAAAAAAAAACAGCAACATCAGCAGAAATGGTTCGAAAAGTAAAGAAGCGACTTGATCGAAATCCGCGTCGCTGTGGCCGAAAATGGCGCGTGAGCTGAACATATCGCAATATTCCATTCGGCAAATATTGAAAATTGAGATCGGGGTAAAGCCATTGAAATTCCAAAAAGTGGTTGGCCACCAGAACTCAAGCGCCGGCCATGGTGATGGTGTGGGCCGCCATAACAGTAGATGGTCGCTCTCTGCTGGTATAAATCGACAGTGGCATCAGAATAAATGGCATCGCAAAAATATTCTCAAGGGTGTATTAAAGTCCTGGGCACGCAAACATTTTGGCCGCAGACCTTGAACATTCCAACAGGACTCAACAACATCGCACTCAGCACGCGCAACCCAAGAATGGTTACGAAATGAGGTTCCTCGCTTGGAAAGCACGGTTGGCACTAAAAACTACAAAAAAGTCGATCACCTCAAGCAAGCTCTTCGCCGGGAATGGGCCAAAATACCGCAAAGCAACATTCGGGCAGCGTGTGATGGTTTTATTGGCCGTTTGAAGGCCATAATTCGTGCCAAAGGTGACCAATTCGAACAAAAATCCAAACTTATTTTAAAATTTGATGCTATTTTCGACATTTTTTTCTTTCATTTAATAAAATTTAAAAAAAAAATAAAAATTATGGCGTTTGACCTTGTTGCAATGTTTTTATCTCACCCTGTATATCATCTGATACGGCCAAAACGTGCCTTTAACGTGGTTTTAGAACCTGGGTCTCTTTGGACCAAATCCGTTTCAGGACATTTGGAGTCGATAGAGCGATGTCCGTCCGTCCGTCAGTCTGGCAGGGGCGCACGACAACTCTAGAAGGGAGTATTCGATTTGATCCAAACTTTGTACATTGTAATATTATTGTCAAACTTAGGTCGATTTCGGAGATGGGCAATATCGGTCCACTCCTTCTGTCAACATTTTTAAAGAAAAGAATTTACCGCACAGAAAGACAAAGGATAACCCGATAACTCTTATAAAATGTGATGTAGAAGTCTAATGGTCTTCAAATTACACACATCACAATATTTTTATTAACCCAATGTCTGGTGGGAAGATGGGATATATATATGTCCACTTCTTCTGGACCACCTCCCCCACAAAGTGTTAAAATTTGGAAAATCTATGAAGCTCATAAAACGCAAAATTAACGTCAGATTCCGTTCTGACCTGGTACATCTGAATATTTCCATCAACACGAGATCTGTTTTAAAGTTGGTTCTGGTACCTCCCCCAAAAAGGGTCAAAATTTGAGTAGACATGAAGCTCATTTAACGCGAAAATTACGTCTGATTCCATTCTGACTTGGTACATATCAATATTTCCATCTAAACAAGATGTGTTATTAAAATGGTATAGATGGCCCATTTATTCTAGTATCTCCCCCATATAGATTTTAAAAAACGAAGAAAGCGAAATAAGCATCCTACTTTTTTCAAATTTCACACATCCAAATATTTTTACTAACGTAAGATGATATATATAGCTGCGAACCCCTTCTGATACCTCACCCACAAAGTGACACAATTTCCAATGCTTATATCTCTCATAACTTGCGAAACAATTCGGCGATTCTTTTCAACTTGCTATATATAAATATTTCTCTTAACCAGAAATCTGATATGAATATGTAATTTATCGGAATTTATGATTTCGCTTAATATTGGATATAAATGTTCGATTTCCTACTACTAATACTAATATTCCAATAAGTATGAAAATGGAATACTTCGGTCCACTTTAAATGTGACTTCGCGCATATTTCCATAGGAAGTAGTCGATATAACTCAAGGCTGGGGGTATACATCTGTCGGCAAACCCAACAGATACTGCTTTACTTGTTTAATATCGACAGAAATACTGGAATGAGAAAGGCTGACAAAATTCACAACATTTGAAAATCAGGATATTTTCTAAATTTTTACCATTTGCGGAGTAGGTTCCATTTTCGCACTTGATCTAATATGGGCAAATATGCTTGGATTTAAAATGTTTGAAGATGGTTGCATATTTTTCATATTAAGATGGAACATTATAGGCCTTTGTTTTAATTTCACAAACTTCTGTTCCCAAAAGTTAAATAACTGACTCAGATTGTCTCAGCTCAATCGATATATTTGTGTAAATCGATATATTTTAGGAAAGACCTCATAATCCCCTCTTATGCCATATCCATAATTAAATGTTAAAACTTTCCCAGCAAAATATTTCACATTAACCACATTTAATTTTTAAGAGTTGTAAAAGACCGATGTGTGAAAAATTTTAGCTTCCTTTTTTTATTCGTTTTGACTCTAGTGTGATTACAACAGACGGACGGACGGACGTAATCGTTTAGACGGACGTTTAATCGTTTTAGAATTTTACACTGATCAAGAATATATATACTTTGTTATGTCTAAAATTATTATTTCTAAATTATGATTAAACTAAAGTGACAGCTCATTATATTGTTTACAAGCGTATAAATCATTTTGGCGAGAATTTTCAAAAAAAAAAAAAAGTTATTCGTATTGGAATTCAAGCGTGATGGTATAATTTCTTTATATTTTGCTGGAAAACAACAAGTGGCTATCGTTGGAGCACTCCAGCATTTAAATGTGAATAAATCTTTTGTGTCTCGTACCGTCGCTCGTTGCCGTGATACTGGTAGCGTAGCCGGACGTCAAGGAATTGGACGGAAGAAAACAGCAACATCGGCAGAAATGGTTCGAACATATCGCAATATTCCATTCGGCAAATGTTAAAAATGAGCTCGGGGTAAAGCCATTGAAATTCCAAAACTAGTTAAAATCGTTTTCATTTTAACATATTTCAAAAGACCTAAAGAGTTTCTTCGCTTGGCCGAAAGTGGTGAACTGCCGAATTTGGTTTGGTTTTTCCGATGAGAAAACAATATGATCGTGTTTACTTGCCAAAGAGGCCAGCTGAAAATGTGCACCTTCGGTTGGCCACCAGAACTTAAGCCTCAAAATATTCTGGAGGGTGTATTAAAGACTTGGGCAAGCAAACATTTTGGCCGCATACTTTGGACATTCAAACAGGACTCAGCACCATCGCACTCAGCATGCGCCACCCAATAATTGTTACAAAATGATGTTCATCGCTTCATTTCCAGCGCACAATGGCCACCAAAATCTCTGGATACCAATCCGTTGTACTATTGTGTCTGGAGTATTTTGGAAAGCAAGGTAGGCACAAAAAAATACCAAAGTGTCGATCACCTCAAGCAAGCGCTTCGCCGAGAATGGACCAAAATACCACAAAGCAACATTCGGGCAGCGAGTGACTGTTTCATTGGCCGTTTGAAGGCCATAATTCATACCAAAGGTGACCAATTCGAACAAATCGAAAATTATTCTAAAATTTGTTGCTATGTCCGACATTTTTTGCTTTCATTCAATAAAATTTAAAAAAAAAAATGTAAAAATTATGGCGTTTGACTTTGTTGCAGTTTTTTATCTCACCCTGTATAACTTCTATGTTCATAAGACTGAGGGTATAAAATATTTCGATTCATAATAGTACCAAGGCAATTGTTTTGAAGTTTCAAAATATTTCTTTTCCATCTTTTAATTTACCAATTCAAATAGAAATTCCAATCTCGATCATTTGATTTGTGGCTTCCTTTTCCATTCCGTTGAGATAAGTCTGCTGGACACAAGTATTCTGATGATTAAGTTTCCATATGTATTTACGTATACATGTACATATAATGTGGAGAATATACATATGCATATATTACGTACGGATCCCTCCTTTTTCGTATTTTATTTTCACATATAATTTGCACACACTTGAAACACTCACATCACACTTCTTGAAGACTGCACAAAATATTCTTAAAATATTTCTTAACTTTCAGGAATTTTAATTCAACATTTTTCGCTCTTTTCCTCTGGATTTTATATTTTTTATTTGTTTCGTTTTTTTTTATTTTCCTCACTTAAAAATTCAAAACTTCACCCAAATAAATCAATTTGACATAATTTATTGTTGTTGTTGTTATTATTATTATTATTGTTATCACTTTGATTTTGTTTTCGAATTTTTCTCTCAATCGCTCATGGATGAACACATCCTTACAAACGAACGCGCACACACACACACTCACACTAATACAATTAGTGTTATTATAGTATTGTGTACAAACATAAATTGAATTTTTCATCCGATTTTTATTCGAGTATTTCACGACCATCCGTTTCCGTTGAAAGTCCCGTTGTGACTGAGCTTATGTTGTTTTCATCCATCGTCTCCATGTCCTTTCGGAAATTTGTTTATCAAATACGAATGCCGTTGCTGCTTGTGATTGTTGTTATTGTGATTGGGCGGTGGGGGGTTGTGGGTGCGCAAGTTATTCGTGTTTTGTATTGTCCTCTGTTAGCTTTTACAGTTAATTTCAAAATTAACGGCTGTATGTTAATCATTAACAGTGAATGCTTTAAATGGTTGGCAATGCGGGGTTGCACAAAAAGCGATAGAGTTGCCACGATTGAATAAAATACCAAATGATAAAAGAATGGAGAAAAGTGGAACAGGGCCCACTATGCAGAGCTATTTAAAACAAATCTACGTTTACATTGAGAATTTTCGTAAAGTAAATTATATCAAATATGATCTATTTTATAGCCTCTACCATTCTATGTAGGGTATATTACTTTTGTCGTTCCGTTTGTAACTCCTCGAAATATTCAAGTGTATATATTCTTGATCGGCGTAAAATTCCGATTCGATTTAGCGATGTCCGTTTGTTAGAATCACGCTCTCTTTCTAACAAATTGAGATAGAAGCCTAAAATTTGCTTCCCGATATTCGCTATTTTGATGATTTTAACGACATTACTAACCCGGATTGTTTCAAATTTCGTATTCCAAGTTTGTAATGGGAACTACAGCCTATGCCTAAAAATTTCGTATGCATGTCCACGTCTTCGTATGGCCCGCAATATAACGGTACCTTCCTTTATTCGGTATTTTGATGATTTAAGTGACATTATTCATCTGAATTGTTTCAAATGTCGTATTTGAAGATTTTAATGGGTACTACAGCCCATTAAGAAAAAAGTTAATTATGCAGGTCCACGTCTTCGTATAGCCTCCGTATAAAGGTATAACGGTATTTTTAGTAATTTTTTGAAATTTTCAAGTTCCTTCCAAATGGTGGAGGGTATTAAAAGTTCGGCCCTACCGAACTTAGCTTCTTTTTTACTTGTTATATTCCTCAATTAATCTTGTGTGTATCTTACCTGTATTAATTTGTTCCATCAGAGCTATAGTTGCCATCTTGCTAATATAAATATTTATCTGGATGAACTCGATCATTGATGCTCCAGTAGATGGGCTTCTTCAGAGTCGCTGATCTTTGTTTTGACTCCCTGTTTTGTGGTGCTTGGGGGTTCATATTTTTCCTCATCGCTGTCGCTGTTAGTTTCCTGGTCAAGTCCCATTCTCACCGTTTTCTTCTTGAATCCGATCTCGTCCGAGACTTAAAAAGCGATGCCTTTTTACTTTAGAAGAGTTTTAGAAGAGTACCGACTTCCTTTTCCTCTCTGTGAAAGACTTCCCTTCTGTTTACATGCAAAGTCTTGTCTGACTTCGAAACACTTCGAGCATGCGTTCTGTCTCAAACTTGCTGCCAAATTCTCTGACTCACTTTTCCTCACCACATTAGGGCTGCCGTTTTCCTTTGCAAGTTCGAAGAACATTTTGTGGTTCTTAACTCCGCTGCTCCGGAGTAATTGAATCACAACCATCCAATATGTGATCCAAAATTGTAACCATTTCCTCTATGGTTTGTATGTGGTCTTTGGGTAAATTGCCTGGTGACGATCACTGTGTAGTGCATTTCATCCCAATAGGGTTTACTGGCGCCTTTATCGTAAGATATTGGCTTCTTACATTTTTCCTCGGCCCGCTTCCTCCCACAGAATCCCCAGGCTTAGCAGTCGATTTCAAGACCGGCAACATTTTCTATTTTTGAGCTCACTTAGATGCTTTGATGCTTTCTAAGCTTTTGTCGTTGAGCTCCAGGCATCTAATTCGTTTTAGTTGTGGGATTCGTTTAGCTATCACTAACTTCATCTATAGTCTTGTTAATTTCAGATTCGACTGGGTCGAGCTTAAGCTTCCCCGGAGTTTCTCAGTCTTGATGATGTCTTTTGACACAAAAGTTCTGCAAAAAAGAACGATTTGAGAGAGGGATTTTATCATTTCTTTGCAAAATTTTTGCAACTTGCAACTCTTTTTTCTCCATTTTGAGTATGATTTGTTTTAAAGTAAAAAATTTTCAATTTAGAACAAAAATTGCAAAATTAGAAATTGTTTCTTTATTAAAAAATACAAACTTTTTGCTTGCTATGTTCCTTTTTATGGTGACCAAGTTGTTTTGTTTTGGAAAATCAGCTGACTGCTTGAACATTTTCGACAGACAGATTTGTTATTGCCTGAAATAACCTTTCTGATTCTACCCTACATATTATAGTAAATATAGTGCAATATAAAGTACGTTTATGTTTACGAAATCCATTCGATCTCAAATGTCAGTCATGGAATCGGATTTTGAAATCAAGTGAATTTGGCCATCTAAACATGCTCTAGGTCCAAGAACAGGTGAAGCACAAGGCTTTGCGCTATCGAATAAAGTATTTTGCCTCTATTCAAACAATTTACTTTTTCAAAGAGTTTTCTATAATTAATTCCACACTATTCATTATTTTTTCTGAAAATGTTGACATTTTATTTATATGTTTGCATTTTCCTAAATAAATTAATTAAAGCCCCTCCTTATCACTTAATTATTTGAGTTTAAATTCCAATTCGTAGACAAAAAGCGTACCTCATTTAATTCCAATTATTTCATTTAAGTCTATGTTATCACTCATCAGTGAATTGCAGTACATCATTTTAATGCGAAAGTTGGCAATCCATCAATAATCAGCTGCTACCGCAATGTTTGTGGCTATTGTGAATGGTCACTCAATAAACAAATTTCCAATTGACTAGCGGAATTACATTTTCTAGAAAAATAGCGACGTTTTTTTCCAAATCACCGATTCATATTTCATCTAAACCAGAATGGCCCACTACAAAGGAGCTGCCAGTGAAGCTGGGCGTGCTGCCCAGCTCATGAAAAAACGTGAAATACAACAACAAGAAATTGAATTTCGCAAAAAGAAAATCGAAGAGGAACTGAAGCTGGACAAGATTGAAAATAAATTCGCGACCCATTACGATGCAGTGGAACAACAGCTCAAAACATCGACCATTGGTTTGGTCACCCTGGATGAGATGAAAGCCAAACAGGAAGACATAGTCAGGGAACGTGAAAAGAAACTGGCCCAGAAAATCGACGAAAAGGAAAGAGAAAAACAACGGGCTCTGGAGGCAATACAGGCTGAAAAGAACAAACAGAAGAAGCAAATCAAAACACTGTCATTTAGTTTTAACGACGACGAAGAAGAGGAGGATGACGACGGCTCAGACGAAGATAAAAATGATGTGGCGCAGGAAGAAGAAAAAACGGAAAAATCCAAGGTGGAGAAAAAGAAGTGGACCGACATAAAACCGGAAGACATACAGACTGTGCCCAAGAAAAGAATATGTAAAAATCCGGATGTAGATACTAGCTTCCTGCCCGATCGTGATCGTGAGGAGGAGGAAAATCGCCTCCGAGAACAGTTGCGCCAGGAATGGGTAATGCAACAGGCAGCACTGAAAGACCAAGAAATAACAATTACCTTCAGTTACTGGGATGGATCCGGCCATCGACGCAGTGTTGTCATGAAAAAGGGCAATTCCATCTATCAATTCCTGCAAAAATGTCTGGAAGTTTTGCGCAAGGAATTCAATGAATTGAAAACGGTTATGGCCGATCAATTAATGTATGTCAAGGAGGATTTAATACTGCCACATCATTATACATTCTATGATTTTATTGTGACCAAGGCCAGAGGTAAATCGGGGCCGCTATTTCAATTTGACGTACATGACGATGTGCGTCTCATAAGTGATGCCTCGGTGGAAAAGGAAGAATCACATGCCGGTAAAGTGCTGCTGCGCCAGTGGTACGAAAGAAATAAACATATTTTCCCCGCCAGTCGTTGGGAGCCGTACGACCCCACCAAATCTTATGATAAATATACGATTAAGGATAAGAAGAAGTAAATGAATGTGAATAATGATAGAGAAATATATCTATGTGGTACAAATGTTTTTAAGATGAAATGGCTATGATGAGTTTTGTTTTTCGTTTTCCATGCATGATTTCACAAAATTAAAGGTTGGCCTCCTGTTGATAGAATCTCTAAAGGACTTCTTTTTTAAATAGCGCTGTGTGTTAAAGGCCTTTAATAGCTAGGAGGTCTATTGCTATAGGAGACCTATTGCTAAATATCTATCTTCTAAATATAGGGATAGAAGACGTAGTGTTTAATGTGGACTTCTACCAATGGAAGACCATTTAAAGGTCTATGGGTAGATCTACAAATGGTCTTATTGTATAGACATTCTAGAAAAGTTCTCTAGGGATAGATGGCTTTTTAAATGCATTCTAGGGATAGAAAGCCTTCGAAAGGTTTTTAATGAATAAAAGACCTCCTGTATGTCTCGCATGGAGAGAAAAATGTCTATAGATATTTGGATAGACCTTGTGAAGGTCTTTCAGGAAAATTAGACCTTATATAGCTAGGATAGACTTGAATGAATATACGTCTTATTCGGAAACAAGTAAAGAAGCTGTAAGTTCCGAACCATTTGGTAAGATAGCGTGATTACAGCAGACATCGCTAAATCGACTTAGAGGTTTAGGGTGGAAATACATAAAGCGCATATTTGACTGGCTTAAGTCATCGGCTGACTTCTTCGTAGAGTTTTTAGGAGTTTTAGGTTGACTTAGTTCGATTTTGGGCCTAGGCTCCTTTGTTCATTTCCGAAGAAGCCAGCCGATGACTTAAGCCAGCCAGATAAGCGCTTTGTGTATACCCACCTTTACGCAGATCAAGTATATACATACTTTGTAGGGTCCGACATGAATATTTCGAGATGTTCCAAACAGAATAACAAAGTTAATATATCCTCCATAGAATGGCGAAGCCAGCCGATGGCTTAAGCCGGTCAGAAAAGCCTTTTGAGGTGAGAGTACATAGAAGGCTTTTCTGACTGGCTTAAGTCATCGGCAGGCTTCTTCGTAAAGGAACAAAGGAGTTTTAGTTCGATTTTGGTCCCTCGCCACACGAACTAGGACCCATTATGACCAACAAATACACATTTTCAGACAAATCCGTGAAAAAATGTGGCAAAAATCATCAAAATACCGAATATCGGGAGGTACCGTCATATGGGGACTATACCAAAACGTGGACCGAAATATCTCATTTTCAATACCAACCATCCTAGACACAATATTAATTGTTGTTCTAAAATTTGACGATCTACGTCAAATAATGTGGGCTGTATCGTGATTTCAACAGACAGACAGACGGACATCCTTAAATCGACTTAGAAATTTATGCTTATGAATATATATAATTTATGAGGTCTTCGAAGAATACTTAGGGATGTTACAAAGTGGAGGGTATAAAAAGGCTTCATAAAAACCCTCTATGGACGGAAGACTTTACAAAGATCTGCTATGAATTGAAGACTTGATAGATATCTTCTATTGACAGAAGACCCTTTTAAGTAATTTTTGGTATTGAAGACTTTCTAGGGATCTTCTATAAACTTCTATGGAGGAAGTTATTCTAAATGTCTACTACGGAGAAAATATCTCATATAGCTAGAAGATCTGATATGACCGAAACTTCCAGTCTTTTATGAATAGAGTAATTTCTTAGGGCCATCTACGGATATAAGGCCTTCCTTAACTAGCAAACAGTTGATATATAGCCAAAAGAAGTACTAAAGGCATAACATATATTGAGAACACAACCCAAGGGTGAAGGTTAGGGTTTCCAATAGATTGTCTGTAACTTGGAGGACTTCTAAAGTCTTTCGATAGGACAATTGTTGTAAGAATAACTTCTAAATGATTAATATGACCAGAAAAGCTTCCATAAATCCAATATAGCCAGAAAACTTCCTAAGTCTGAAAAGTTTTCCTAAGATATTAAACAGCGAAAATGGTAAATATATTCTCTATCTTAAGGAGTTTCTAATATATACATCTTATACATCTAAAAAAAACTTGGAAATATTTTCTATATGTAGAAGACTTGATCCTCTAAGGGTTAAATGTCTTTTTAACATTTTCTATATCTAGTTGTCCAGAAGACATTTTAAAGTTCCAACTGATTTCATAAGCGAAATTTAAGCCATAAGAGCCACAAATGAAGAACATCTATGGGTATATATTTATTCGAGTATTAGTAACTTTATTTTGTTCATTTCGGCATAAATTTTGATCAAAATTAAAAAGATTTACCAAAAAGGTTTTGCTTTAAAGCTCTCACCTTCTGGATCATGTAAGTAAAACTTATTACCTATCCTACTTTGGTTATTACAGAGGGCAAACAAATAAAAATAACACCTCCATTTACCAACGATACTCATTAATCCATTTTCCAATTATATCCGATTCGCGATTACGAGCCTGTAACACAGAAATCGGATCTTTGGGATGTTTTGCACGTAAATCCAAATGATGAGCACCCTCGGGAATGATGATAATATGTACAGTTGGATTATCAGATTGTAGGACACCGCCGCCACTCCAGGGATCCAGCAGGCCATTACTGAAAATAATATTCGACATTTCTCGAGCATTTCGACCTCCATAACGCACCATGATGTCATCGAGATTAGGCTTTATGTGATATTTTTCCATACACTTGTCAGCATATTCTTTGAAATTCCATTCCTTGGGCCTGAACATTGTCTCGGGTGTGGAACACATGGGCATTACCATCTGGTTGCAGGTTTGTATTTCCCAAGCATTGCCACCAATTGAGCTGGGGTCATATGCTGAGGTATAATCCAAACACTTTGTGGCGCCGGTAAAGTTGAAATACACATTTATGGCTTGCTGCATGCCATCCAGTAACTTGTCTCCGCTCACAGGCGTTTGTAAATACGAACAAAATTGTCTCACAGGATATGGTGGCAAAGGACTGAGGAAGTCATTGGCATAGGGATAGTTGGCCATGGCCAAATTGCCATAAACATCTTCCAAATAATCAAAGAATTTGTTGAGGTCTCCCTCCGCTTTAATGGGTTCACAAAATTTAAAGGCTGCATTTAATTTCTTCTTCCCGTCATCCGAACTGGCCAGCTGCTTAAATAACTCCCATGATTTGCGTATGTTATCGGCACAGGAACGATTATTAAACGATGTGGCAAATATTGAGGTGGTGATTCGGGAAAAGATGTCACATGCTGTCAAACCATCAAATTGCCTTACAGGAGCTGATGCCGCCAAGGCACCATACACCAAATGAGGATATTTCATGCGCAACCAGGCCGACAGCATACCACCATACGAACCACCAAATGCAATCACAGGACCATACTTCTTATTCTTTTCCTGCATACTTGATATCAACCAGGCAAAATCTTCCAATGCTTGTTCCACACTCAAATATCCGTAATTCTGCGTTAGATTGAAGGTCATATTTCCAAATGGCATTGACTTGCCATAGTAACGATGTTCGGCAAACACCACACAGGCCCGATATTTCTGGGCCAGTTCCCACATAAATCCCGTATTCTGGGCAAATGTTTCTATGTCACCTTCATTGCCGGTATAGAAGAAAACTGGACTCTTATCGTTCTGTTTATCCACATAGCTGTCATTGATCAGATATCGTAGTTTAAAGCTTGCATTTACGGCAAAATTGAAATGATCTACTGGTAGCTCAATTTCTTTTGTCTCGTAGTGATAGGTTTCTCCATTAGAGCTGGAGATAAGAAACGCACCAATGAATAATTGTATTGAAACTGCGACATTCAATACACTAATCCGTCGCGAACAACTCGCAATATACAAAGCCATCATACTCGGATGAAAGCTGCCGAATGAATGATGATGGAGGTGATAACATAAGAAAAACAATCTTTGTTTTGCTCAATGATCTGGCCATGGTAGAAGAATGTAGGTAGACGCGTCGACACAGCTGCTGGGACAATGAACTGTCAAACCAATTTTGGAATTGAAAATGTTGAATGAAAAATTATTTAAATTTGTAAAAATTATTGAAAAACGCGAATTATAATAACCTCCGAATGACGTCGTATAAGAAAACATATAAAACTTATATTTGAAAAATATATTTAAAAAATTTTGGCATATCAATGTTCCCAAGCGTTGATGCATCTACCTGTATTCTTCTGCCATGGATCTTAATGCAATACTGTGGTGTCCCAGCTGATGGCTGTCTTTTAAGCTTTTTGTATTTTTTCTTTTTATTATTTTCTTTAGGAAAATGTGCAAATGTTTAATGGGTTAAATGGTTTCTGCTTCCGACTGTAAGCACAATTTGTTGTTCTGTTTATTGTGAATTGATGGCATGACCATAATTGTGACTGCTTGCAATTTGTGCAACAGAAGAAGATATTTTAGAAGAGTTTTTAAGGGAATACCAGAGCCATCGATGTAGCCAATGGACTTTGTAGAATTTTTTCAAAAGAAAGGTTTTCAAAAATATTCACCGTCAACAAACGTAAACTTTTTGAAAAACAGATTTTTCAAGCATTATCATAAGTATTAGGGTAGAATTTTTAATTTTTTGTCAAAACCTATCAAAGCCGTAAGAAGATTTTAACAAAGTCTATCAGATATATACAGGGTTACATGAAAGAACTGCAACCAACTTCAGACTACTGTAATTTCTAAGCCACTGGTACGACAGCTTTTAAAGCCATTTAAATTCCAAAAAGCGCAAAAAGTTATACCACAACCCTGGTGAACTGCCGAATTTGGTTTTCTCCGATGAGAAAAAAATCGTTGTCCAGCCGCCATAACAGTCGTGGCATCAGAATAAATGCAGAATATTATCGCGAAAATATTCTGAAGGCAAACATGGCACGCCAACATTTTGGCCGCAGACCTTGGACATTCCAACAGGACTCTGCACCATCGCACTTAGCTGCTTACAAAATGAGGTTCCTCGCTTCATTTCCAGCGCACAATGGCCACCGAAATCTCCGGATACCAATCCGTTGGACTAACCTTGCTTTCCAAAATACTCCTGATACTATTTTGGAAAGCACGGTTGGCACTAAAAAAATACCAAAGTGTCGATCACCTCAAGCAAACACTTCGCCGGGAATGGGCCAAAATACCGCAGAGCAACATTCGGGTAGCGTGTGACGGTTTCATTGGCCGTTTGAAGGCCATAATTCGTGCAAAAGGTGACGAATTCGAACAAATCTAAAGTTATTCTAAAATTTAAATAAAATTAAAAAAAAATTAAAAATTACTTTGTTGCAGTTTTTTATCTCACCCTGAACGTTCGATTTCAATTTCTTTTTCTAGAAAATGCTTTTGGTCTCAACTTTGCTTGCCGTATTCCGCGGAGAAAATTCTTCAGTTTGTCATACATAACCTACATTATTTTTATTTCCGCAATTATTATAATTCAATACAAGTTGATACAATTTCTCTGCATGTCGGGTCATTAATTAACTTACCAGAGATCATTTTAATTGCAGATGCGTGTAAAATTAGCAAAACACTTCGTATTGCGTGGATTTGAATTTCGTGATTTTTAGATTTTCAATTATCTTTCACAATAAAACAAGATCATATTTTTTCTTTTCTTATTTAGCACTTCAAGCACTGTATAAACATTTGATTCACGTATTTACCATTTGTTGCATTTACTAAATTACTAACAAGCTTTATAAGATCAGGAAAATCGTTAATTGTATACTTTTTGATGTCAACTAATTCATGACACAGCACTTTCTTACAATTTGAAATGATTCAAAGACGGTAAACGGAAGAAAAACAATTGCACAACTGAAAAGGATGAGAAAAGAGTTGCCACACTAATTTTCGTTTGATTAGTAACTGACGTGTCGTAAAGCAATCAAGATAGCTGATTATATTATGACTTTGCTCCATTAATTAAAACGTCTAACCATCTTGAGTGAATTTGTGGCTGAACTTTATTTGATATTGTAGAAGACATTAATTCGAGGCAAGCATTTCACAATTCGAGTCTTGTATTAAGAAAATAACTCGTTTGCATTTAAAAATATGTTTTTATTAATTGACTAATAAAAATCGTTGTTTAAAATTGGAGCCAGTGACGCGAGAAAAAAACGGGGTACAGTACAAATAATATTGTCGATAAGAAAGTCTCGCCTTTCCACGATCATGTGAAATGTTTTACCAAACGGTATATTTTTTAGTATTCTTTTAAATAGCATTGAACACTTCTTCTCCTCTGATCATAATAGTACGTTTACGCTGTAAAGGATTTAGAAAACCCAGTAGGTTTAAATTGTCAATTCCATTTCATATACCTCAAATAAATCTCCATAAAGAAGGTTTACCCAGAAAAAAGCTCTAACGTAAACATGCCATTACATTCGTTTTTTCATTAAATATTCTTTATATCGGCACATATTAAATGAATGTCTTCATATACACATTTTTAAACCCCCATACTATTTTTTAAAATAGTTTCTTTTCTATTTTCCTCGGAGACCGGTTAACATTTTACCGAGATTTTTCCTTGCACGGAAATCTTTTTAATTTGTGGTGCCTCTATACTATGCTCAAATATTTTGTTTTTTTTTTCTTTCCCAACTCCCTAAATCTATCTGTTTGGTCTAAAAACCACGCATAATCCACAGTAATTCACAGAAGATTTCAGAATCAAAACTAAATTCATAGTGAACTTATTATTATTATTAATATTATTATTTTTAATTATATTATTATTTTAAGGAACTAGCACGGTAGAATTAAAAAAGTAATCAAATAAAATAAATTAATAGAGGTATCAAATTACAAAAACTGTATAAATTGTCAATTAAATTTAATAAACTTAAAAACAACGAAAAATTTCAGTTTTTTAAATGATTTTTTTTCTCAAAGTCAGGAAGTGTTTGATTTGTGGTTTAAGTTATTGGATTCAAGGCTGGTGAGCTAGAAATATTTGTTAAAAGTGTGCAAGGTATAAAGCTCATCTCTGTTTATATTCTTTTATTAAAAGTAATCATATTAGGTATTAGATGTTGTAAATAATCCGTGACGTTCCAATCATATTTCCCAATTTAAATAAACAGGTTGATTTTATTTTAAAATAAATGTTTAGTTAAAAGACTCTATCGTGGTACAATAAAATTAAGGTAACACCATTTCAAAGTATATTATTCTATGATAAAGTAAAATGAAAACATTCATAAAGGAAAGAAGTGTCAAATGAACAATTTCAAAAAGGAAATATTTTTCATAGAACAAGATTTCAGACCCTGGGGCTGAATTCTGATTTTTTCCCATTTACATTGCCAAATTTAACTTCATTGAAAACAGCTTCCATTCACTTGTCTTGTCTTCTCCAGCCTGTACAAGCATATCGAACAGGCATTGATAAAATATTTTAATAACTATAAAAAATTATTTAGTTTTATTCATTATTATTCAAAAAATTTAAAATTTTTATATAAACATATTTTCATACTTGAATAAATGTCAATTGTCTAACTATCATATGGTATATGGCAACACCACATGCCATACGCCATCATTTAAGATGCTCCTCTTAAATAAACTCCAAGCAAGAGAGCAATTTTTGAGTCTGCTGTCAAATTTCGTCTAGTAAACACCTCGAACGACGGTCGGATTGTGAACTTCTTATTAGAATTATTATACAGTGCCATACATACAGAATCGGAAAAGAATACAAAAAATTGTTCAATTTTATTACAGAATTCTAACAGGAATTGCAGCTAAACTATAACTAAAAGTGGATTAGCTAAACAAAGCAATATCTAAAATTAAAAAAATAATAATATTGTGACAAAAAATGTGTGAATAATCTGTGAATTTCTCACTGCTGATAAACCCCAAAAAAAAATTAGTTATCATGTTCCCTTCTGCAGAGGGTGACAATACCCACAAAAATTCATTGTCGTTGATGTTATAGAAAAAAGTTTTGTTAGCCACCACCACCACCACTAGGGAGGGGTAATGGGTATGATGTTTATCATTAACCCATTAGTGGGCAGTGTCCCTTATAAGGGACTCTCACATTTTTCACTGTAGCACTTTCCAATACTCGCTTTTTTTGTAAACAAGTAGGCTATGCCGTTACTGACACTCCAACGAATTATGTTCTATCCCATTAATTTAATTTCTTGCGAGTTGTGTGTTGTATTTTGTGCAAAATATGGAAAACCAATTTGTGAAAAAACAAAAATCTCGAGCTGGGTAAGTAAAATTTCAATAAAGTTATGATTCTGTGAATATTTTTGATTGTGTTTGTATTGTTATTTGTAAGTTAGTGTAATATACTAGTTTATGCCCAAAAAATAAAATAAATTGTTGTGACACGTGCATAAAGTGACTATGAATGCAACGTCCCCTAAGAGGGACACTGCGCCCGTAGTACAATTGTAATCCACTGATTGAGTAATGAATCTTATATGTGCAGACTTACAGTTTCTGAAATACTGACTGAATTGGATGTTATTGGCGATAATGAGTTGCACGACATTGAAATTTACGCGATCCCACCAATAGATGGTGCAGATACTGATGAAGATACTGATGGTGGTGGCCCATATTTGCATATTTGCTTGATGGTCAGTAGTGAATGCATGGTTGTTAATGAAGAAGTTACATCCCAATGATGCGGCATGTTCAACTCTTCTAAATTGCAACATCATATCTGGAATCGTATGGTACCCCAGAATCAAGAGGTTTGCGCAATAGCAATGTCACTGCGGATACAAGATATGATGGCAGAAACCACATTATTGAATATTCAAAAACAGATAAACGCTGTGGATTATGCGCCCTAAAAATTGCTTTAAGGAATATCATAAGCCAAGTGTACCCAATGCGCAGCGTCCCTTATAAGGGACGGTCCATAACTCCAAAACCATAAGCTTTTTTGAATAAATTATTTTTAAAACAAATTAACTAGACCATTTTTATTTGTAATTGGTGTAAATCGCTTAAAGATAGTGCCCAGGGAACTTCGTCCACTAATGGGTTAATCAAACTCTTGTTGGAGTAGAGTAGGGTATTTTTCCAAGTGTTTCACTAAATAAACAATAAGAATTTTTCACAATTAAAACAAAAATAAAAACAACGAAAACAACAACAGCAACAATAAAACGAACGGAATAGCAGCTAAACTGGAGTTGAGACCTACGCGTTCAGCTAATTTAAGGTATGTGTGTGCATTCTTCTTCCATTTTTCATGTGCCTTGCCTTGGCTCGTATGTAGGTGGTATTCATTGTTCTTCTTCCAATCCCATCGTCAAAATATACATACACACGCCGCAAAGATGTGTCCAAGAAGCAGTAGCAATCAGTCAGCTTGTAATTGCTGCTTTACAGCAAAAATAAAAAAATTGAAAATTGCTTGGATTTTTTGCAATAATTAAAATTTGTCATTTAAAATTATTAATAAAATAAACATAATACACAATATTTGCAATTAGTTGTGTATATCGAGCAGTGCCAGTGAATGTGACCAATATAACTTTTTTTTCTTCTTATGTTTATTGCAATTGCAAAGCAGAAAAAAAAATCGAAAAATCAATAAAAATGTTTTTGTGTACACAAGTAAGCGGCGACAGCAGCAGAGCACCGCACCGCACACACAACTATTGCCATTTTTTCTTCCTCCCCTCTTTGTTCATCATTATTATTTTTTTTTTTTGTTCTCCTCCTGTTATTCTTTTCTTTCGTTTTTGGTATTTACACACTTACGACGAATTTACATTTTTGTTGTGGTGTTTTTGCTGCTGTCGGTCGGTCGGTCTGATTGGATAGAATGTTGATAACCGTATCAACGATGCATAACACTGTTGAAGTCAACTGTTTGCCTTTTCTTTTTCGACACCCTCCTATAGGGAAGGAATTTTAAATTAATTTCCTTGGTTTAATGAAGTTGAATATTTTGATTAAAATTAGACAAAATAATGTCAAGGAATATATGGAATCCCAATAATTAAATAGAAGTTGTGTTGTATCGATTACAATTGATCTCTTTTTCAGAAATATTGTTTTAACAATATACCTCCAGTAACAATGTGGAATTATTTGCTACAAGTTTTAGCATAAACAGATAAAATAGCGTCAACGAACATTGAAGGCATTTTGGGAGTAGAGTAGAGGATATACAGGGTGAGATAAAAAAAAAACTGCAAGAAAGCCAAATGCCATAATTTTTACATTTTTTTAAAATTTTATTGAATGAAAGCAAAAATTTCGGAAATAGCATCATATTTTAGAATAAGTATAGAAGTTTGTATAGAAGTTTTCTGAACCGTCCATGGCCCTGTCGGCTAGGTTTCTGTACAAATTGAAAATAAATAAAAAAAAAAATAAGTCTAAATTTGTTCGAATTGGTCACCTTTGGGACGAATTATGGCCTTCAAACGGCTAAAAAAATCCGCAGCCCGAATGTTGCTTTGTGGTATTTTGGCCCATTCCCGGCGAAGCGCTTGCTTGAGGCGATCGACACGTTGGTATTTTTTAGTACCAACCTTGCTTTCCAAAATACTCCAAACACAATAGTCCAACGGATTGGTATCCGGAGATTTTGGGGGCCATTGTCCGCTGGAAATGAAGCGAGGAACGACATTTTGTAACCATTCTTGGGTGGCGCGTGCTGAGAGCGATGGTGCTGAGTCCTGTTGAAACGCCCAAGGTCTGCGGCCAAAATGTTTGCGTACCCAAGGCTTTAATACACCCTCCAGAATATTTTCGCAATAGCATTTATTCTGATGCCACGGTCGTTTAATACGAGCAGAGAGCGACCATCGGCTGTTATGGCGGCCCACACCATCAGCATGACCGGCGCTTGAGTTCTGGTGGACAACTGAAGGTGCACTTTTTCAGCTGACCTCTTTGGCAAAACTGTTTGCTTACAAACTGCTGGACAACGAATGTTTTGTCATCGGAGAAAACCAAATTCGGCAGTTCACCACTTTCGACCAAGCGAAGCAACTCTTTAGCTCTTTTGAGTCTATTTTCCTTATGTTGTGGTGTAAGTTCTTGCACTTTTAGGAATTTCAATGACTTTACCCCGAGCTCATTTTTCAATATCTGCCGAATGGAATATTGTGATATGTTCAGCTCACGAGACATTTTTCGCTGCGACGCGGGTTTCGATCAAGTCGCTTCTTTACTTTTCGAAACATTTCTTCTGATGTTGCTGTTTTCTTCCGTCCACTTCCGCTTTCTTGACGTCTGGCTACGCTACCAGTATCCGGGTAACGAGGGATGGTACGAGACACAAAAGATTTATTCACATTTAAATGCTGGAGTTCCCTAACGATAGCCACATGTGGTTTTCCAGCCAAATATAAAGAAATCACGCTTGAATTCCATCACTAATAATTTTTTTCTGTCGGACGAGTGGCTTAGAAATGACAGCAGTCGGAAGTTGGGTCCAATTTTTTCATCTCACCCTGTATATCAAGGTTTTGTTATATACCGCCAGATTTAAGTGTTTTAGTCATAAATTTTAATCCAAATTTGATGGCAGTTGTCGTTCTCAATCTTGCAAAAAACAAAACTGTCCAAAGAGGACCAACTTTGGTATAGTCGCCATATAATTTTATCTCCCCATATTCAGTATTTGGAAGATTTGTGTAATATTTTCTAAAAGATTTGTACAAATTTGATATTTAGTGTCTGTAATGGATACCAATGAAAGGAAATTGGCTAAATAGGTGCATGTTTTCGTATAGTCCGCATAATCTGATTCCACGTCTTTGTATAGTCTGATTAAAAATTTTATAAGCACCCGACATTGAGCTCATCGCTTTCCTTCGTTTGTAAGAATGCTCCCTATTATCGTATCCCATAGACATCTTTCCCTGACAATGATTGTCTTTTAACGAAATGGAAAAAATTAACAAATTTCTTTTATTAAATATAACCATTGACCTTGTCGGCATTTGTTTTCTAATTGTCAGATAGTTTTAGATAATAACGTCACAGCCAAATGAATCACTGCTAAACAATATAAACTAATTTTAATACACTAATAAAATTTTATTTGTTGATGATGAAAGAGATACCAGTAAGTGGGATAGACTACCAACTGTCGTACGAGTGTGAAATATGTCGTAAAGAAGGTGTGTGTGACTGTTTTTAATAAAAGTTCGGTATGGAAAGAGCTTTTAACTAAGGCAAAACGAATCCCAGTAAATTCGAATCACACTGTTAATTGGAATTCTTTCACCCACTAAGAAAAAATTACAAATAATGGGTCATTTTTTAGAAAACGTGAATGAAGGCAGGGTTTTAAATTTGGGAAACACTGCAATTTTAGATTGGCAAAATTAAATATTTTCTAAGCCGAGGACAAATTCTTGCTTTCGAAACCGATAATAAAAAAACGAACGAAATGAATTTCTGTAGGATAAAAATTAAAATTTTGGTAGAAACAACTAGGGTCCTTACAATCACATTCAGCCGTTTCTAACGAAATTGTGCATTAAATCAAGCTAAAATTGACATATAAAAATGTAACCAACTACTAAAGGTTCATGCTAAAGTCCATAATTTCTATTACCCGTATTTCTTTCCATTAAAAGACATGAAAATTTTAAAAATGAAAAGAAAAGTTTTTTTCAAGCCGCAAAATATTTCAAAATGTACTTTCACCGAAGACAATTTTCTTACTTAGCTTTCATGTGGTTAATTAGAAACCTGTTATTTTTCTCACTACTCATTGGTGTTCCTCCCTTGTCTTATTATTACATTAGAAATATCTAAATGAAAATACAGGGTGAGAAAAAATGCAACAAAGTCAACAATTTTTTTTTAATTTTATGAAATGAAAGCAAAGAATGTTGGAAAAAGCATCAAAAGATTTTGGTGGTCATTGTGCGCTGGAAATGTAACCATTTGTAACCATTCTTGGGTGGCGCATACTGAGTGCGATGGTGCTGAGTCCTGTTGGAATGTCCAAGGTCTGCGTCCAAAATGTTTGCGTGCCCAAGGCTTTAATATTCGGCATTGTTTCTGATGCCACGGTCGTCGATTAATACGAGCGGAGAGCGACCAACGGCTGTTATGGCGGCCCACACCATCACCATGGCCGGCTCTTTCTTCTGGTTCTGGTGACAAACCGAAGCTGCACATTTTCAGCTGACCTCTTTGGCAAGTAAACACGATCATTTTGTTTGTTTACAAACTGCTGGACAACGAATGTTTTCTCATCGGAGAAAACCAATTTCCGCAGTTCACCACTTTCAGCCATCGAAACAACAATCACGCTTGAATTCCATCACGAATAACTTTTTTTCGGGAAAATTCTCACCAAAATGCTTTTGTACGCTTGTAAGCAATATAATGAGCTGTAACTGAAATAATTTTAACAGCGGTCGGACGAGGAGCTTAGAAATGACATAAATTTGAATTTGGTTGCAGTTTTTTCATCTCACCCTGTACATATTCGAGCAAGAAAATGAGTTTGCGAAAAAAGTAATAATTTTCTGACTATTTGTGGTCTCTTCCACAACTGCAAGAAGGAAGGAATTGACAATGTCCAAATTAAATACAATGTGAATACTTAAACGCAATCCGAGGAAATTGGTCATGTTTTGAATCAATGCCAAAATATATACAAATTATTGATTCTCTAAACATTTTAAATCATCCCCAATAAACTTTGCCAGATTTAAAAAGAAAAAGAAAACAATTGTTTCTTATGGCTTTAAACACAAATAGTCCCCGTTTGCTTATTCACCCATTTCAAAAGTTGACCAATGACCGAACTACTAACATTCCAATCGTCTTTTTTCTTTTAAGAAAGAAAAACAAACTATATAGAACACACTGCCAAACAATTCAATTTAATAAGTGTGTGAAAGAAAAATGTTACAAAAAGGAATTAGAATAAGATGTTCTGTTCGTCCCTCTATCCGTCTGTTTGTCTGTCTTTTCACTCAATTATGAAGTTAATGACTTTTTGCTCTAGAATGAATGTGGGGATGAATACTACTTAAGCATTCCCTCCATTGCTGCTGCTTGGTTTGCTGAAAAGTAGACAACAAAATATAACAAAAATAGAAGTGGCAGCAAAAGCAATAACAATAATAACAACAATGCAAATTGTGCTAAAACTATAATCAACGAAGGCATTTTGTAGACCACCAATATTAATTACCATTTAATAAATTGTATGAAAGTCCACTCGGTTTTTCT